GGTATGCAATGAAGGCCCAAAATATCGTGACAAGACATAGAAGAAAAGTCCTAAATCATCATTGAGCAACAGTAAGCTATCAGTGATAGCCTACAACCCCTTGAACGGGTCCTCTTACATCGCGTAATATCGGGCACACTGCAGGTTCAATCTGCAGTTATCGGCGACTTCTGTGACCAATTTTTGCCCCCCCCACGGAGACCCCTGGCCGGGGATCGAACCTGTGCGGATTTGATGCAGTGGGGTTTCCAAACTTTCGAGTCGAAAGTCTTGTAGCTTGAACTCGATCTTCCAATGTGATGCCTGAGATCAATGCACGCCCCATTTGAATCGCTTTTGAATTCAAAACCCACTGACCTGGCGCGTGTCACTCTCGTAATGGCTAGAGGTGAGGATAAGGCGAATATTCTGCCTTCCCCGAAAGTAGCCTATGTGGCTATAAAAACCTCTATGCTCTGAATAAGCGGTATATTGGTCTTCGAAAGGTTGGAGTACACCTAGGGGATCCCTGGGGAGGTTGGCTTCGACATGGTTTAGAAGAGGTTAACCGATGCGGTTGTCTTACCAATGATGACATCCGTCTCGGCCGCCGGTCTGCATGAGCGTGGTTTTCTACTTGTGTTCGTGCACAAGTGATCGTTGTTGATACATATAACAGCCTCAGGAATGCTTTCTGATGATAATCCTCTGCTTAGTTCCCAAGCCACGACATTTCCATTATAGAAGTCCTGACTGCTTGGGGACTTCGGAGAGAAAAAGCCACCTTTTCTTCAGAGTTTCCTATCAGCTTCTCTGACGTGTGTGCTCGTACGATCACTTCGTCAAGTTCTGTAGGTAGAACTTAATTTTACTTGGTAATAATATTTTTTATAAACAGATCGTGTTGTCTTAGGTGGTCTTCATCGCGATACATTTTCTCTTTACGGTGGTGTACTGGTCATCTTCACTTTTGACGCTCATACCACACCTTTCTTACCAGCTCTTAGATTTTCTTTCAAGATGTGATGGAGACCTTCATTTTCGAATCGGTCCTCTCGGGAGGGCCGATCAGAGGTAATAACGCCTTCCGTTTCTGCACTCAATTTGCCAGGTACCGAGTCACATCATCAGGGAGTAGTAGTTGTCAGCCTTGACACCGCTAGCTCCTTTCTCGGTCGACGCCTAGGGGTTCTCATCTCTGTGGAATATCTACGGCGTCGATCCCCTGGACGCAGTTGTCTGTGGATGGCAATCCGGGGTTATTAATGCTCATATCGTCGTTAATTGAAGTTGGTGCGGTTTAAAATGCACTGAAGTTTTCATGTAATACAGAGAGATGAAGAGAGAGCATTACTGGGCGTTCAATACCTGAATGCTTTGATATACGCAAGCTTTCGTGTATTTCATTTAAACGGTTAAAATGGAATACATGAAAACTTGGTTTAAATTAAAAACCAAGCGTCGACCCGGAATGTTAGGCTTGTACTGAACTGACGCACAGACTGATGACAAACACGGTGATCGTATTGTGAATTACAAGGGGTGATGTGTAATTCACATTATAGGATGATCGCCGTGTATTATACAAGGTCGGGTCTCACATTGTAAGTATGAATGCCAGACCTCTGCTGTGCTCTAACAAGGCTGCTGCGTGACGGATTCGAAAAGGTAGTCAGGTTGGCGATAGGAGGACGCCCAAATGCGTTGACGCTATCCGGAGGTCAAATTGGCAATCACATTCCGGGGAAGCTGCCGATCCCTGGCAGTAGAAATGGAATCGTCTCTAAAGCGGGGTAGAATGATGCAGCTGGTTACTGCAGTCTGAGTGCGTCGCTCAATCGTGACGATTTAACCCATCTATAATCTCTCTAACGCAAGTGTGAATTCTAGAATATGCGCAGGTTCGAAACCTGGCCGCGACATCTCCTGTTGATAACTGTTCCCAAACTGTTCTCATTCCTCGGGATTTTCATTTTTCTTTTAATAATGGAGTTTCATCCGTTTTACGTGAAGTGGCGTAAAACGCGACATTCGCGCCTTGCAAAAGTCATGAA